TTTATTTCCCTGCATCATCTGGATTATTATTGGCTATGTATATGTTTCTTTATCAAATGTTTGTGGAAAGAAACCATTTCCTTTTTGTTTTTGTTGTTTGCTTGTTTGTTTATTTATTTATTTACTTTTTTTGTTTTGTTTTTTTCTTTGTTAATTAATTAATTTATTTTTATATTTTAAAGTTGTTTTTGCTTTTGTGGGTGTAGAGAAGTCAATAAGTAATTCTTGAACTATAGATGATTGGATATGTCTTTTGGAGCCAGGAAGCCTCATTTAAACTTTATATCTACTATTACTAGCCAGACCTTCTGGGTGCATTTATCTGAATCTATGATTCATACAAACCTCTGAGAGGGTAGCAATTTTCTGTTTCAAAAATGTTTCTATGCCGTTTCCTAATAAAACAAAAGTTTCAGGTCATTTCGGAATTAACCAAACAACTGGAAACACATTTCAGGTTCAAAATTTGACAAAAAAATTTCCTGGGTCAAAATATGAAAAATTGAAATTAAAACCTAAACTTTGTCTTTTACTCCTAAGACCTATGTCACCAATTCTGTTACTCGCTTTAGTCTTCAAAATCCTAAGGCCTATATCGTCGAATCCTGCAAGGCAGTTGCATGTACCAACATCCAGCTTTCGACATTAGGCTACCTACTTCATTGTTGTGAAAGGAATCAGAGTAGTTATTCCCTTCCTCTTGATGTGAAAGGAATTAGAATAGTTATTCCTTTATTCATTCATTCAGAAGGAACAAATTATTTCCAAAAAGTGTTGAAAACTTTGTTTTTATTCACAACAATCTGTCTTCTATCAAGGAATACCTTTGAATATTATGCTGACAAATAAAAAATGTGGAATGTAAGAGGGGATGAATTTGTGAGCATAGAAGGTGTTGGCATCCTTCAGTTTGCCAACCTATTTTTTTAGATGAGGCTGAGCTAGAATTTGTATTTTTAATGAAGATGCTAATGAAAACATAAACAGTTAGAATGTTTAAATTTAAGAATATTTTGGAGTTTGGACATTGTGTTCTTATTTCAAATAGACTCTGGTATTTAACTATTTATTAGTGATTTAGTGTATTGCTCTTATTTATTAGTTTAATACTTTTAATTATGAAAGTATTAGATAATTCATATTTAAGATGATTTTTATTTTTTATTTTTGTTGCAAATATACCCCTATATTTTTATATTTACATGTTTCCCCAACATTTCAATTCCTACATTTTTTGAAATTGTTGTTTCCTTGTTTCCAGTTTCCATGCTACATAGATCTGAACTTTAGGACTCACTAGGAAAGTAAAATGGAAATGCAAATAAGTATTGCTAATACCTTGAACTTATTTTCCTGGTAATGTGATATCCAATGTGTTTAAGCAGGGCCCTTTCCTACATATTGCAATTGGTAGCTAGAGACCACAGGAATGCAAAACCTGGAGTGGATGTATTTATCATCAAGACACTGCAAGCTTATCAGTCCCTTTCTGACCCAAATGCATATAAAAGTGACCATGCGCGCATTGTTCATGTTTGCACCACACCATTTAGGTAATAATTTTTTTTGGCTTGCATATAAGTGGTCCTTGTATATTTTCATTTATTTTAGTCACTAGGCTTTATATTGAAGGACTTATTTTGAACACACAAATATATTCCTTTCTGTTAGTGAATCATTGCTCATTTTATTTCTAAGCTTATTTTTATTTTTTCTTGGAATGGCAACAGGGAAGCTTCTAAATGTGAGGAAAGCTCATGCTTGCGCATGCTTTTAGACAAGAGAGATGCGTGGCTTGGTCCTTGGAACCCTGGAAGGTCTCTGCCTGTGACTTTCTTAACTGTGTCCTTTTCTTTTATAGGCAATATTTCATTCTCATACAAATTACTCAGGTGGTGCCATTGCCAATTCATTTGAATAATTGATTGTCAATCTTTTTGCTTATTGTACTCAGAGATTGGTTTGAAGATGAACTTCGTTCATTCCAAGGGGGAAGAGATGGTGTATTGCCTTGTGTGTGGGAACATGAGCCTCCCAGTTTTCCTCAGGTAAACCGTTCTTCTGTTCCCCTTCCCCATTCCCACACCCCAGGCCAAAGGCAGCGGAAAGCACAAGTCAAAAGCGGTTCTGCTTTGCAACATTTCAGATTTTGCAATTTTTTGCTTGGGGAGCTTATTTATTCTTGACTTTAAAGCCAGTACTAATACTTATCATTTTATCTTGAAGCCGGAGACAATAAGCAAATCGTTGGTGAATCAAATGCTTCTCTCCTTTGGAACCATGTTTGCTTCCCAGGTAGGTGAATGTGGTTGATGACCATTGACTTGGCTTTGAGCTCTTGTTGTGTTTTCTGTGGTTGAAATATCTGGGTTTTGTCAGTTCAATTCAATATTCCTATTTCATCCCAGGATAGTAAGGGAATGCTCTCACTTCTTGGCACGGTTGAGCAAAGTCTAAAAGCTGGAAAGAAACAAGCTTGGCATTCTGCTAATGTCACCAATATATGTGTGGGATTACTTGCTGGGTTGAAGGTTCTCTTTAGTTGGTTTTTTCCCTCCCTCTCTCTCTCTCTCTCACACTCACACACACACAGATATTGTGAATTTTCAATGTCTTATACCCTTATTTGATGTCCATGCTGACACAGGCATTGCATGCTTTACGTCCTGAGCCCCTAGGACTGGAAGTACTGAATGCAACACAATCTATTTTTCAGGTTTTCTGCAATTTGAACTCAGTTTTGCTCCGAGTACATTGGTAAAACATGATTGATTTCTTATATTTCTGTGCAATTTTACAGATTATTTTGGTTGAGGGTGATATCAGTGCATCTCAACGCCGAGCACTGTCAGAAGGTCTTGGTCTAGTAGCACGACTTGGGAATGATGTATTCACTGCCAAATTGGTTAGTTGAATATGGTTTCTAACCTATCTGCTTGCTTTGTTTTCAAAGTGTTTGCATGCTAAATTTTTCATATTGCAGAAATTAAAATTTTATAATTTTTGCTACTTAGTTTCCATATATAACTGTCTTCTCTGGGTAGTGACTGGCTCATTTTCTGTTGCTGACTTGGAAACATGCTGTTGGGTTCTTCCTTCTATCTTCTTTGTGCATGCTGCTGATTTGAACTGACTAGCTTTTGTTATCACAGACACGATCGTTCCTTGGTGACATACATAGCGGTGCAGATTCACATTATGCTGCTTCAATTGCCCTTGCGCTTGGCTGCATTCATCGCAGGTAGTCCTGAGACTTGAAGATCTTGATTGGTTTTGGTCTTAATTTAGCTTCAAGAATCTAGTGGTTATTACATAGAAATTATAGAATGATAGAAAACCAGTTACAGGAGGAAGTGGGAACTGAAAATTCATTGCAAATGCATTTTATTGCATACTGAATGATTTAGTTGAGGTAGAGCTGCCTGGTGATCCCTAGGTTGCAGCACGTCTGGTCGTTAACTCCTCGTGCTGCTGCACTGCATTGCTCTTGCATTCATTACTATTTATTTGTTCTTCTAAGCTGTGGAAGACTGAATGCTGTTGATCTTGGTTGCAGTGCAGGGGGAATGGCATTGTCAAGTTTAGTGCCTGCTACTGTCAACTCTCTGTCTTCTCTTGCTAAAAGTTCAGTCACTGGTTTGCAAATTTGGTCTTTGCATGGACTTCTCTTGACCATTGAAGCTGCTGGCTTGTCCTATGTATCTCAAGTTCAGGTATCAGACACTGGTTTGATTTTAAATTTGGCATCTTTTTTTTTTTTTTTTTTTTTTTTTTTTTTTTTTTTTTTTTTTTTTTGAAAGGAAAATTTGGCATCTTTAATCCTTCTTCATACCTAAACAGTTTTATCAAAAAATTTGAAATCCAATGAGCACAAGTTGTTCAAATGATAACTTTTAAACATAAGATTGTTGGTTCCCATTCTCCCATTCTATGGAACTAAGGCTTGAGTTAAGATTTTTGGTACATTTCCATAACATGATAAATAGCATAATAGATGTGGTAACTCTGAAGTTTATAAGAAAGTTTCCTGTCACAAAAACTTGATAATATGTTTGTTTCACTGTTAAGAAATGATTGATATGAGTCTTTTTAATACACTGAAGTTATGAGATCTTGAGTAGACATCAATATGCAATTTAGGTAAAATGGAAACAGCATCTACTGTTGCTCTTGAATATATAAAAATGTTGCTTCAGATGTTCATTAGCAATTGTTAATTAGCCATTATTTTCCAGGAGTCTCCCCTCCCCCCTGTTTTTGTGTGTGTGTGTGTGTGTGTGTGTTTGTGTGTGTGTGACAAATATGACATCTTTATTTAAGCAGAGATTGAACTACTATATTATTTCATTATATTTTTCATGCTGTTGTTGGTAACTTGCATTATGTCCTATTACTTGCTTCAAAATTTGTATATCAATACATTATTACATCAAATAATTTATTTTTGGGTTGCTCTGGTAGGTTTTGAGTAAATTCTGTTGATTGATTTCCTGCTATTATCTTTCTTTTTCAGGCAACACTTGGCCTTGCTACAGATGTTCTTTTGTCCAATGAGATTGGCTCTACTGACCTGCAACAGGGAGTGGGCCGCCTTATAAATGCTATCGTTGCTGTTCTTGGTCCTGAACTTGCTCCTGGAAGTATCTTCTTTTCCCGCTGCAAGGTAGGTTACTTAGATTGCAAGAAACTTGGCATATAGTGCGGACAAAAATTGGCAGTGCCTTTTTGTATTAAAAAAAATTCATGCCCATTCTCTAATGATATTGGTAATTTTCTTGAGCAACTGTAAGTAACAGCAGATGATTTTTCACTTGAAACTGTGAATGTTCTCATTTTCCTTTTTTGTTTTGTTTTGTTTTGTTTTTTTGTTTGTTTGTTTTTTTTTTTTTTTTCATAATATGATGAATATATAATATATTACAATCAATTAATAGATGAATACACAACAATTACCAAAAGTTAAAGCCCCAACCTCTAGGGGAGGGGGGGGGGGGGGGGACTTTCTTGTTTTCTTAATTATGTCTTTTAAGAATTATTATCTTGAGCACGTGTTTCTATTCAGTTTGTCATTGCAGAGATTAGCTCCAGACAAGAAACTGCAACACTTCTCGAGTAAGCCCACTTGGAGAATTTATATATGTAGTGATGTTTTTATGTTTTCTATTGGCAACAAAGAGTGGGTTCACTTCAGCCTAGCTCTTCAAAGTTAGTTAGCTTGTTTTGTTTCTGTTTTCCTTAAAGTTCCTTGTATATTTGACAGGAATGTCCGCTTCACACAGCAACTAGTACTCTTTGCACCACAGGCTGTTAGTGTACATTCCCACATTCAGACACTCCTCCCTACCCTCTCCTCAAGACAGGTACTCTTCTCTTTTTAGCAGGGGACCAGTATGTGTTTCACAGATAATTTTATAAATGTGAATGGTGAAACTGATTGATTCCATTTCCAACAGCCAACATTGAGGCATCTTGCTCTGTCTACTGTTCGACACCTCATAGAAAAGGACCCGGTTGGTAACATGGTTTTTTATTCATCTCCCAAACATTACTTTGAATGTTCCATCTTATCAAGCCATTAGAATCTTTGATGGGACAGAGATGTAAAAGCAGTTTTTTATTTTTAATAAATTTTTAATGTGTTTTTTTTTTTTTTTTTCCTGTGCTATAAAATCTTATTTTCTTAGGTCCTTCTGGACTTCTTTTGTATTTCTAGAAAATCTGAATGCATCTGAGAAAAATAGTTTTGAACAAAATGAGTTGAATCCAACAGAATTATTAAATGCATTTATTCACTTCATAGGATTCAAATTGATTGCACTAAGCTGATGATAGTCACATTTACTAATCATCTTTTATAGGTCTCTGTCATCAACGAACAAATAGAAAATGCATTGTTCCACATGCTTGATGAGGAAACTGATGCTGAGTAAGTTGATTGTTTGATTATGATTGTGAAAAGTATTGTATCAGGCTTTGGGTCTTGGAAGACGCTTTGTAGTCGGTCTTGGATCATTCCTTTAGTAAACATATTATGGAGTATCACATTATCAATTACATTAAAAGATTTTACTAATCCAATGCCAAAAGAAAACAAACTTTTTTGATTGTTAAAGTGTTGTATCAGGCATTGGGTCTTGGAAGATGCTTTTTGGTTGGTCTTGGATCATTCCTTTAGTAAAACTATTATGGAGTATCACATTATCAATAACATTGAAATATTTTATTAATCCAATGACAAAAGAAATGAAAACAAAAAAACATGAGCTGATTTTGTGTATGAAAACTTTTCTTGTTTTCTGTCTAAATTCACCATATTCTTTCTCTTAACATATCAAATTAGTTGTTTTCAAAAAAAAAAAAAACATATCAAATTAGAAACTATGGAAACCTAAGGAGTGTTTACTTGATGTTTGTTCCTCCCTTCACAGATGTCTTTATATGACATTTAGTTCCATTCCCGATGTCTTGTGATTGTGCTTAAATTCGGTCTAGATGATCTTTTATGTGCCATGTACCTAAGTTTGAATTCTATTATTTTGCAGGATTGGTCGCTTAGCTCGTACCACAATCATGCGGTTGCTTTATGCATCATGCCCATCATGTCCTTCTCACTGGCTTTCAATATGTCGCAACATGGTAATATCACATTTTCTGCGCTTAATTGCTTATTGTGTAACCTTCATATTTGACCTGAAGTAGTGTCTCAACTTTGGGTCAGTTATGAAACGAAGACTGTTTTCATGAATTTTTGGAGCTTGAATCATATGTGATTTTCATAACCTTGCCATCAGTTCCAGATTCTTCTTGTATTATTATAATTGTTGTTATTGTTATTTGTTAAGAGTCCCACATTGAAAAAATAAGAGAGAATATATGGGTTTATAAGGTCATGAGTTAGACTAGCTAATTGGTTGGATTCAATCTTTTAGTGTGGTTTGGCCCATGTGCATTATAGCCCAATTGAGTGACCATAGCGCAATCTTAATTTATAACATTGTTGTTGTTGTTGTTGTTATTATTATTATTATTATTATTATTATTATTATTATAATAATAATAATATTATTATTATTATTATTATTATTATTATTATTATGATTGTTGTTGTTGACATGTTATACCAATTCCGGGGAAAAGGTTGATTCTATTGGATTGAGATTGATTACTGACAACTAACATATGGTTTTACTTTTACCTAGATCCTTGCTTTATCATCAAGGGATGCCAAGACTAGGGACAATATGGATAGTGATTCAAGTGGTCCAGGTGGTGAGACAAGATTGCATTTTGGTGGAGATGAGGAGAACATGGTCTCTAGCTCCAAAAGCCAATCTCCTCAGAGTTATGCATTTGGTTATTCCAAAGACAAACACCTTAGATATCGGACAAAGGTTTTTGCTGCTGAGTAAGTGAGCGAACTATTGCTTTTGTGTTATTTTATTTAGACATATTTCAGTACTAGGAAGGATGGTTGGTTATGCAGCTTGTTGCTCTTGAATTCAGATGCTTGAGTCATATACCAGAAGCTGTTGGAAAGAATCCTGCTCATTTTGACCTTGATGTAGCTGGAGGACATCGTTCTGGTGATTGGCTAGTTCTTCATCTGCAAGAGCTCATTTCACTGGCCTATCAGGTGGAAGAAAAAAGAAATCAATAGCATCTTATGACAATTTCTTTGCAATGAAATTTGTAAAATATCTCTCGAAATAACTTGCAGATCAGCACCATTCAATTTGAGAACATGCGTCACATTGGTGTAGCACTTCTAAGTACCATTATGGACAAGGTACCTGTGCATCATTTAGCCATTAATGTGGTTGTTGATCATATAGAAGAGCATTATTCTAATCTTCGTAAAAATGTATTTTTTTCTTCATTCAGTTCCATCTATGGCACCTTTTCCTTTGCATTATTTCAAGTATGATTTGGCTGTGATATTTTATATTTAACATTATGTGTCAGTTTGAAACTGTTTCGGACCCTGAGCTTCCTGGACACCTCCTTCTGGAGCAATACCAGGTCCAAACATTTTTTCCTTATATTATCTGAATCTTTATTTTCTAAGTATACTTATGGAATATACTTAATGTTGTACATTAGCAATGGTGTAAAAGTTAAAATTTCATAATTATGCAAGTACTATGCTACTTGTATTTATTTACTAAAGCATATTTCATATTGATGTTAACAGGCCCAACTTGTTTCGGCAATTCGAACAGCATTGGTCTCATCTTCTGGTCCTGTACTTTTGGAAGCAGGCTTACAGCTTGCAACTAAGGTTTTAAGTTATCAAATACTTTTTGTTTCAAATGAAAATTGATTGCCTAGTGCTGACATGATGACATAAAAATTACAGATATTGACATGTAAAATTGTCAGTCATGACCAACTTGCTGTAAAACGGATATTTTCATTGATCTCTCGACCTCTAAGTGAATTTGATGACCTCTACTACCCATCATTTGCAGAATGGGTATCATGTAAGGTTGGTTGACTCTGGTTCTTGTTTTCTGAGTTTCTCTAACTTTACCAATTTGTTAAGACTGGGCAGTTGTCAGTTTTGACCAACACTTTTTTGATAATCTTCTGTCTAGATCAAAATAAGGCTTCTGACTGCTCATGCCTCTTTGAAATGTTATACATATACATTCTTGAGAAACCAACATAGTGGGATTTCTGATGAGTATCTAGCTTTATTACCGCTGTTCTCTGAAAGTTCAAATGTTCTGGGTATTTACTGGCTCGGTGTTTTGAAAGACTACAGTTATGTCTCCTTCCGTTCACATCCTAAAGAAAGTGTGAGCTCCCAGTTTTGAATTTCTTTCCATCTTATTTTTTCACCCCTTTCTCTGATTTCTATGGGTTAACAACTTTGACTGTGCACTGCAGTGGAAACCATTCCTTGATGGAATTCAATCTTCATTAGTTTCAACTAAATTGTTGCCATGTTTAGAGGAATCCTGGCCCCTAATCCTGCAAGCAGTTGTATTAGATGCAGTTCCTACGAACTTTGTGGCTAAGGAATCTTCTGCTACTTATAATGAATCACAAAGTACCTTCATTTCTGGATACAGCATGGTTAAATTGCGGTTAGAAGACTTTCAATTTTTGTGGGGCTTTTCTGTTCTTGCTCTGTTTCAGGGGCAAGGTCATTCTCTAGGTGATTATATGATGCCGATGGGCTCTGCAGAATCTGAAATAAGGGATGAATCTTCTCTTGATGTGAATTCTGTAGACTCAAAGCTATGTGAGACGTTGTTGCCTGTATTTCATGCTCTGTCTACAGAAAGATTTTTCAGTGCCGGATTTCTGACTGTGGATATCTGTAGAGAACTGGTGCAGGTAATGTGAATGCTCTCTCAATTACAACCCCCACAAATCCCCACTATTTTGCCTCTTAAAGGTTTCCCTTCATTATAGCTGTTGTGATTTACAATTTTTGTGGAGGTTGCACATTTTAGGGTTCTGGGAAGTTTTTGTAAGCTTATTGTGTGCATGATACTATTCCATTGAAGTCATATTTGTTCATACACATGTAGAAGGTGACATTTTAGATCAAGTTCATGTTACTATAGTCTATACTCTATACTAGTTCTAACAATTTTTTCTGTAGTTAGGCAATCTAATTAGACATGTCTGGTTTCCACTCTGATCACTTCTTGCAAATGTATTCAGGCCTTCTCTTTTTCCATTTGTGTCAAAGATGCATGGGACTCTCTTGCTATCTCAGTTTTATCACAGGTACTTATGGCATCCTCCTATAATTTAGTTGGACATGTCCTGGATCAAAATTATGCTTTCACTGTAATATTGTTAATTTTGCAATATGTTATGTGCTTTCATAACCAGATATTGCATAACCTTCATTCTTCTTTTACTCTATGTCTCTATTGATGCAAACTCCTATTTAGCTAATGGCTTATTTTACCCTGTACCTGATCTTATGATAAAGTCAGAAAATGGACTAATTTTTTTTTAAAAGTTACTATGCATGTGCTTGTGTCTTTTTGTGTTGATAAATATGCAATTTGGTTCTAGTGCTTGATGTCTTATTTTTTCCCCTATTTTCTTTGGGCTACTCTAACAGATTGTTCAGCATTGTCCCAAAGAATTTCTCGAGACAGAAGATTTTCCATATCTTGCAGCAGAACTATGTTTGGCATTTTTCTTTAAATTCTTCCTGAGGTACTAATCTGTTTTGACAAAATTGTAGTTCTTATATTATTGTAGTCTTCTACCTTGAAAATCCGTAATATAGTAATAGTTCCTAGCTGTTTTTTGGGTCAGCGATGCAAAATCTCAATACCATTCAGACTGGGAGGATATGATTTCTGTGACACTTACTACTGCTGCAGTGCTTCTGAGGCGGTTTAAACCAAAGGTTGGCAATATCACACTTTATGCTTCTACCTTTTTTCCAGAGGAATGATATTGTGGCTAAGGTTCTGCACTCATCACCTGTTTGAATTATTAAAGTTCTCTGATCATAATTTCTGTACAGATGCGCTTAAAGTCACTATTGGCTTTTACATTGGTTGGTTACAAATGCATTGGGTTTGCAACAACTGACATATTCCTTATAAGAGTTAAAGATTTTGTCCAGTCTATCACTTCTTCATTACAACAATATATTACTGGTAAGTACCTATGATTTGCATAGGAAGTCTCCAGGAGCCTAATATTATGTTGTTTCATTTTCTGTAATTGTATGATGGTGATGGGATCCCCCTCAATTTCTTCTAACAGCTACACCTGACCTTGGAGATGATGAAGTCCAGTACTTCACTACAACTACCAGAGCTTGTCTGAGTGCAAGTGCTAGTTTAATCAAGGACTGTATTGAGAGCATTCACCAATCTGAAAATAAGAAGTCCAACATGTTAAAACTGCTTTTGATGAAGCTTGCTATGTCCTTGGAGCAAACTATTACACTGGCTAAAGTTTCCTTTGAAATTGAACACCACAGAGAAAATGAAGAATATAAACCAATCTTATATACCACATTATGTCATAGCACTCACTGTATCAGGACTGTTCTTTGTGATTCTGAGATACAGGTAACTACCTTATATATTACATGCAACATCAAAGTCACCAATCGCTATTAACCAATTGAGAAAAATTTATGCAGGTTCAAGCATTTGGCTTGCAAGTATTGAAGGGAATGCTACAAAGAGGGACGACTACAGAATCCAACTCTTTCATAATATTTTTTGTTGGGGAACTTATTGAAGATATTATTGCAGTAATCCACAAATCCTTAAAGGTGTGCTTTGCTGTCAAGAATTTATGATTTTCAATTCGTTGTTTGTCACTCTAAAGTGTTATGGTTGTCATTTTATGGCAGAAAGTGATAAATAGGGAAGGGGTGGCCATTATTGGGGAATGCTTGAAAATATTGATGCTTCTCCAGACACTGTCAAAAGATAGTGACAGTCAGAAAGGTCTCATGAATCTTTTCTTGGAAACTATTCTCATGATTTTTACAATACCAGAGGATAATTCTGAGGTACTACTTAACCACACAGTATTTGGCTTTGTTTTATCTGCCGTCTCCGTTTGTCCCTTTACACATAACTGTCCACTTGAATTGCAGGAAATAAGTGATCTTAGGATCATGGCTGTAAAACTGGTCTCACAACTTGCTCAAAATTCTACTTCTGCTGTTTACTTCAAGGATGTCTTACTGGCAATGCCTATAACTCGAAGACAACAACTTCAGGTGATTGTCTTCTCTTAATATTTTTGGTTTATTTCTGTAATTTTTGTAGTAAAAATCTTCCTAAAATGCTGCATGATTTGGGAACTGTTCACACAGTTCTTATCTTTTGATAAATTTTAGTGTTTCATGCTAAATACGAATAGAATAATTCAAAGTAAAGTTCTCGTTTTTGTCAAGATACACAACACTCCTGTTGAATTATATTTTTGCCACAGTATGCCTTGTGAATATAGAATTTTTGTGGGCTGATGTCTTACAAGTATTTGTGAATCTAAATAATTTTTAAGTTTTCGTTGACTCTACTCATTGACAATTGTTGAGGGATTGATAGGTCTGGCGGGTGGAGAATAACCACCACCCGCCAGTTAGGCTGAAGCAAAATATGTGAGAACTAAAGAACAAGAGAATAAAGAGAATATATTATAATGAAAGATTACAATAGATTGTCTCTCTGTATATCTATGTTCTATACTTCAATGGACCTCTATATATACTAAACTAGATACTAAATTAGTCTAGGAAACTACTAATAAGATTAGGAAACTAAGACAACTTTCCTAATATTCAACTCTCCCCCTCAAGCTGGAACATCTGGAAGTTCCAAGCTTGGATTAAAACAAGCACTCTACCTCACTCAAAATTACAAATGAAAATTAAATGCAACTAGAGGATAACAATGCCACCTATACGAAGAATGAATGATTACCAGGAAGAATACAAAAAGCGAACAAAAATGGAGACAGCCTCGGACGGAACTTCATGGATCGAGATTGCAATCCGATCGCCACGCATGCGTCTTGGTTTTCTCAACATTGTTTTCATAACCGGCGAAGACACACCCTGTATGTATTGCAGACATATATATGAGTACGATTAAGGATCTGCAGCACCATACCGGAGAAATCGAATGAATAAACAAACAACTTACGAGAATACTAGCATGTGCATAGATGATAGCGCCGTCATCTGTGCTAATGGCGACATCGGCTCGATATCCTTCATCGAAAAAAAGATCCATCCGGCGGTTCGACGAGGAGGCGAAGGTGCGGCACTGTTTCCTCGTTGGTCTGCTCCGATAATGAATAAAGGTTTCTTCTGCGTACGATGAGGCAGGGGAGGTGGAATCGGCAAAAATGTCGCATGATTCAAATCCAAAAGCTTGCCCATCTTTCCGATATGATCCTCAAATTTCTGCAAATTAAATTTGTTTAATTTCTGTTAAACCAAACACATAAGAAATAAATTAAACAGACGGCATTATTTTTACCTTAAATCCAATGATGTTTGGGAGGAATACGGGACAAGGGAAGATCAAAAAGTACTAATAAGATTAGGAAACTAAGAGAACTTTCCTAATATTCAACAACAATCTGGTAATAGGAGGGATGAGCATAATATCATATGCTGTAATATTAAAACACTGGAGTGTCCAAGCCTTGTAACCTTGCCTATTTATGCATTCTTAGGATATTTAATCTGATTAAAGAGCTCTGATTCAGTTTTCTTTGTTTCTCATTTTTCTGTTACTTAAGTGTTTATTTACTTGTCCCTTTGCTATTTTCAATTGTTTTTGTTTGTACTACCGTGCAGTTCTATGACCTTGATAACCCCGTGATTGTGACTAAAGAAACTTACTTTCCTAGAATGTTTTTCTAGTGTCCATTGAATGTCTGAATGAAAATTGATGTTCACCATGTTTCAGTGAAACAATTTGATATCTTTTACAAATAATCCACTTTCAGGATATTATCCGTGCATCTGTGAATCGAGACCAGAATCCAATCCAGGTGAAATCCACTGGACCACCTATAGTGTTGAAATTACCTGCAAAAATGGAGGAAACAAAAGATCAAAATTTCACCTCTGCATTTCCCACAAAAGAATCTGAAGACAACTCCTTGGAAGAAGAAGAAGAAGAAGATGATGATTGGGACACTTTCCAGTCTTTTCCTGCCTCTGTCAGTGGGGATCCTCCAACTTCTGAAATAGCAGTATATTCGAATTTGACCACGAATACATCAGTTTCATCAGTTTCAGATAGTGATTCGGGAAATAATGACCTTGAGACACAGAATATTTCCGAACCATTGTACATGGTAGACGAACTCAATTTCCAAGATGAAACGGCAGCTGGAGAGACCTATGAATTTGCTACAAGTAGCAGTGACCAGATACAAGAGCCCCATGATTGCCAAGATAATTTAGACCACACTGAGGAACCTGTCACTTCTGAGCAGAAGGGTACCATAGAGCTGAGCCAGGAAGGTGAACATGTCTCACCCATTCAACCTGTTGTTGAGGTGAAAGAAAAAGACTCCGAGTCATCTCAAGGAACAGGGCTAAATATTGTTTCCACTAGTGATTCATCTTTGCCAGAGAGTTTACACGTTACGGAGACACTATCTGATGAGGAAAGTTGTAGAGTTGGAGTAGATGATAGGAATGGAGATAAACCTGCCAAGGAACTTGATGATCAACATTACAAGGAGATAGATATCAAGGACCGAAACATAGATAAAGACTCAATGGATATCCATTCTTCAGAAGATACAAAAGGTTGAAAGAAAGTCTATATATCAGAGAATGATAATCAATAGACTCTGCAAAGGCAAATAATTGGTATGTTGCTTCTCACTGTTGCTGTTTTATGTCCTTAGCAATCATGAGGAAGCATTTTCCCCTACAGACATGCATAATGATACTGGGAATGATAAATCTGACCAATAATACTCCAGAGTGGCCCAAAGTGAAATTTGTTGTTGTTACGCATATTGGTTTACTTTTATTGTAATTTTGAGTATCATATGTATGTATTTCAGAACACTTGGAATGCAAAACCTTTTGCAATGCCAACAATAGATGTGATTAAACATCTCCCTATGGTTAGTCTGTAATACAATCATTTCTTAGACAAATGTTCAGCTTGCTGTATTTTCTGGAGCTATTGTTTTCATTTCAATTCATTTCTTGTTTGCCCTCTTGTTTTCTTCCTCCTGTTGGATCACATATGTCAAGTGGAGCCATGGTGGATGAACAATGATGCTCAGGTGATGGATGAAACTTTCTGCATCCTTCTTCCCTTTTTTCTATACTAGTAATCTGTCCCAAAGTCACAAGGATGACCTATGAAATTGCATGAAATATTGAAATAACTTCTAAATTGATATGCACAACTTAGGGTCAGGGACATTATACTCAACCTCTGCTTAAGGTTTTCTGTTGCTTATTATGTATGCTGCTACCTTATTTGTGATTGCTTTTATTTTTGTCATACATTTCAAACAAAATATGATTTTGCTATAGTATTTCAATGTCATGAAGATGCTCGTTTATGGAAAGGTTCAAATTTACGGAGTTTGACTTTTCAGTGTTGTCAGGAACTAGGAAGCTTACTAAAGTTGTGTTTGCATAGAACACTTTGAGCATCGCCATTAGTGAATCCAAAATGTGCGTGTTTTTTTGTTTGTCGGTCCAAGTAAAAAAGAGAAAGAGAAAGAGAAAGGGGACACCGAGTCATTGGACCTTGCATCTTGCGACTAGACTATCATTGGAATTGGCCAGGATGATAATATATATATATAATTTCAAAGTGCGGCTACAAAATCTCTATCAAGAAATTCCTCCGATTCTCCACTTGACTAACTTGACTTGAAAATTTAGCTATGAAGGGCCTCTGAACAAGGCATTTGACATGCGCGCGGCTTGTTCTTGAAGCCACTCGAAGGGGAGTAGTTATGCTGTGCATCCGTATGCACCATGCATGGTGCATACGGATGCAAAAATGACGTCGTTTTATTAAAAACGCGCGTCTCCCCTTTAAAAAAAAATTCAGGTTCGATTCCCAGCAACAGCATTATGTTGTTCATTCATTCTGGAATTTTAGTTCATAGATTATGGAATTTTAGTTCATTGATTCTGGAATTTTAGTTCATTCATTCTGGAATTTTTAGTTCATAGATTAGATTCTGGAATTTTAGTTCATAGATTCTAGAATTATAGTTCATCGATTTTGGAATTATAGTTCATCGATTCTGGAATTTTAATTCATATGTTGTTGTTGGGAATCGAACCTGAATTTTTTTTTTTTTAAGGGAAGATGCGCGTTTTTAATAAAACGACGTCGTTTTTGCATGCGTATGCACCATGCTTGGTGCATACGGATGCACAACATAATTTGCCCTCGAAGGGCCTCCGATCTTTAATTGGCTTAATATTTGATTTTAGTCCATTTTAACTTGGCTTCTTCAATCCAATTTAGCTTGGCTTGATCACTTGAATATCTTCAATCTACTTTAGCTTATCTTCAATCCACTTTAGCTTGGTTTACTTTAGCTCAGTTTGATCTTCAATCCGAAGCTTCTCTAGGACTTCTAAGGGATCTTCGACGTGTCTTCAACTCTTCAAGTGTGATGTTAGTGTGACCTTTGGAATGTGTTATAGGAGAGAAATATATGAGGCTTTCACTGGAACTCAAATTCTTCAACATTATCTTTATATTATCAATGATATTTAGGATAATATGGATATTTATCCAAAATGTATCTTAACTACAATTGCATCCATGTTCATGATCTTATCACATATTTAAATTAAATAGTTAATTTAAATATATAAATATTTACTTGCTATGCCTGGTTTAATCAATCCTTATAATTTGAATCAACTAGTCTTCAATTGTATTTAATTAGGAGAATTGGGTCAATTTAATTAATTCAAATAAATCAATAATCAGCCAATTATATCAAAATGAAACCCAACACATACGAATAAAACCCATTTTATCTGCTTCAAATTTTCTGTGTCTACAAAAATTGATTCAATTTCTTAGTTTTGTTCTGTCCAGGAAACTTGCGGCACCAGAACTCATTCTTCTTGTGTGGATTGACTGCACTGTATATCTTGATTTTGATCTGGGCGGAGAGCAATTCCAGCGTCAATAGCAATCTGCTTTACAACTTTCACTCTCTTCTCTATGCCTGCAGCAGCTTCATGTGTGGACAGTTTTTCTATCATCTGTACAATTTCATTTGGTGCCCAACAAACATTAAAGTCAATTTCATTTTGGCCCTGTTTGATAAAAAATTGGCCTATAGGCCAATTTTGGCTTATTTGACCACTATTAATTGTTTGATTTAGTTAAAAATATCAATATAAATGTTTGGTTAATTAGTTTTTTGCAACTCCAAAAAGTTAAAATTAAAAAAGCTACTCCTAGCAACTTTTTCAATTAGCTTTTTGAGAAAAGAAATTATACCAAACAGTTATAGCTAATTTACCAAACACTTTTCTACAATCAGCTAATATTATCAAATATTTATACCCTCTAATTAACACAATCAGCTAACAGCAAACAACTATCAGCTAACAGTCATTTTACCAAACAGGGCCGTTATATATTTTTCTACTAATATAATTAAAGTTAAACTATATATACCTTTGGATGTACTCCACAATTCTTGCGCAACTCAACGCATTGAACTGTGAATTCTTGACCAAATCTTGATGCAAAAATGTGTCTTAGTTGTTGAAGCTCTGGGAATTCACCAAATCTTGAAGCTGCAAAGATCAACCCTGATATCCCCTCCCTCAGCTCCTCAGGGCATTCCCTGCATATATACCAACATCATCACACTACTCATGCCATTAAACTAGCTACAACATTATTATTATTTTCCACAAATTAAAACATATGAATTTACACTAACATACATGTTACTATCTAACACTGCCCTTCGTTCAATCAGAAGATGGCAGTAGTTCTCCATCATGGCTAGCGCATCGCACATGTTTTCTTCCTTCATCACCACCACAGCCTTCAATAACACAAAGCCCACAATCAAAACTAAACTAGTGGTAGATAAAGAGAGCGAGGGTTCAACTGTCACTTTAAATGTGTTGTTTGAAGCCCATAAAATGGTAATCTGTTCGCACACTTGAGGGAGCGTGTTGAGCATATAATATATAATTATAAACAGTTCAACTATCAGAGCCCATCAAAAAGTAATCTGCCTGTACACACCTGTAGGGCATGTCGAGTATATAATATATAAATATAGATATGCAGTTCAACTATCAGCTTAACTTAACAATGAAACGTACCCGAAGAAGTGCGCGGTCGTGGTGGCCGAGGTGGAGTAACTGGACAATATCGGAGCGGGCGTAGGAACACCTCACATGATGCTGGTTCTTGAGAATACTAATCCTAGAGATTGCGAGATTAGCCATGCTCTTTACTCTTGATGCCAGGGATTTCCTTCCAAATAGACCCATTTTTCTTTGATTTCTGGGATTTGATGAACTGATTCAAGAAACTAAATGGTATGTTTCTGGTTCCTAT